TGCTGGAAGCAGCTGAGCATTGGCACCCTGGGGCAGCGGTGACCACTGGGGATCTTTGGTAAGTCCTTCCCAGCTCCTCCAGGTCCCATCAGTGCAGGAGTCATCTTCTTTCATGGGCCTGTTTTGGGGGGCTGTGAGCTCTTTTGGGGTTGCCTGGGCTGTGTGAGCAAAAGCAGTGCAGCCTCCACAGTCTGCCCGCCCCTGCCAGTCCCCACACCCTCGCTGTGCCACAGCCTGATGCTGTCCCGGTTTCAGCTGACCCGGGTCCCCTCATCCCCTCCTGCCGTGGTTCCCTTCCCCTGCCGAGTGTCACCTGCTCCCCTGCTCCTGCCATCCCTTTGAGCATCCTTCCTGTTGCAGCCCCCGTGCCCTAGCGCTGTGGGTGCTGGCGCCCCGCTGCCCTGCTCCTTGGGGACAGGAGGGACACATCCCCTTCCCGGTCCCTCTGATGCTGGCACCTGGGGGCTGTGGCTGCCCGGCCGGACATGGAGAGGGTCACTCTGGCATGGGTGGCAGTGACCCCGTGTTGGAGCGTGCGGGTGTTTGTGTGCGCTGGTGCCTGCTCCTGCCCCGCTATCCCTCGGTGTCCCTGGCTCTCTCCTGGGAGGGGCCAGTCCCGCTGCCTGCAGCCCCGCCGGTCCCTGCCTGTCCCTTGGGGATGCCCGGGCCGGCCCGGGCTGAAAGCACTCGGTCCCCGGTCTGGGGCTTGGCGTGGCGGCCGGCACAGAGCCGGTACCGGTGCGTGGGGTGGGACCGGCGCCGGTACCCGGGGATGTGCGGTGCCGGTGCCAGAGCGTGGGGCGGAGCCGTGAGGTGCCGGTGCCGCTACGCGGAGCGGGGACGTGCCGTGCCGGTGCCGGTACCCGGGGATGTGCCGGTGCCAGTGCGCGGGGTGGAGCCGTGTTGTATTGGTGCGTACGCGGTGCCGGTGCCGGTGCGTGGGGCTGCGCCGGTGCCGCTACGCGGGGCAGGGACCTGCGGTGCCGTAGCCGGTGCGTGGGGCGGAGCCGTTCGGTGCCGGTGCCGCTACACGGGACTGTGCCGGTGCCGGTACCCGGGGCGGAGCCGTGTTGTATTGGCGCCCGTACGCGGTGCCGGTGCGCGGGGCTGTGCCGGTGCCGCTACACGGGGCGGGGACGCGCGGTGCCGTAGCCGGTGCGTGGGGCGGAGCGGTGCCGGTGCCGCTCCACGGGGCGGTGCCGTGTTGTGCCGGTGCCGCTACGCGGGGCGGTGCCGGTGCCGTGCGGTGCCGTAGCCAGTGCGCGGGGCGCCGCGCCCCCATGAGCCGGTGAGGCGGCGGCGGTGCGGGAGGGATGGCGGCGGGCGGCGGCGGCGGGGGGCGGCCGCCGGGCTCCGACCCCGCGCTGGAGCCCTACGTGCAGACCCGCATCTTCAAAATCATCGTGATCGGAGACTCCAACGTGGGTAAGACGTGCCTGACCTTCCGCTTCTGCGGGGGCACCTTCCCCGGCAAGACCGAGGCCACCATCGGCGTGGACTTCCGCGAGAAGACGGTGGAGATCGAGGGGGAGCGCATCAAGGTGGGCCCCGCACCGGCCCCGGGCTGGATGACATCAGTCCCGCAGGGCCCCGCTCTGTCCCCGATAGGTTCTACACCGGCTCCGGTGGGCTCTGCTTCATCCTCGGTCAGCCCCGCTCTGTCCCCGATGGGCCCCGCACGGGCCCCGGGCTGACCAGCACCAGCCCCGGGGAGCCCCCCACTGGCCCCGATGGGCCCCGCGCTGGCCCCGAGCTGACCAGCAGCAGCCCCAGCAGCGACGGCAGCCGGTCCCCATCCCTGCCCCAACCCCATCCCCTGCCCCAGGGCTGCATGTCGCACCCCAAAGCCCTCCTGGGGGCTTTCCCTTTCATCCTAGCTGGAGGGAGGAGACAGGGACAGGGGAGAATTCTCATGCCTGTGGTCAGCAGAGATGCTTCTGGACCCATCCATCCCTGCTGCCTTGTCGCTGTTTCTGGGGTTGGTTTGAGCCTGCAGCGGCCTGAAGCGATGGGTTGGGGTGAGCCACTGCTGCCCTCCCAGCACAGCCTCGGGGCATCGAGGTGGCTCCAGCTCCAGGCATTGGACTAGCAGAGGGGCACAGCTGGAGGATGGAGCTGTGTGCCAGAACTGGGGCATCTGGGGGGGCAGAGGGAGGCTGGAAGGCCGGGAGCTCCCACGGGCCGGTGGCAGCAGGCTTGGCAGCTGTGGGAGCACTGCTGGAATCTGCTCCCAGCTGGCACCGGGAGCTGTGATTGCAGGACGACTGGAACAGGATGAATTTGCTCTATGAAGGCCCGTGTGACACCTGTAAGGAATGACCAGCCCAGACCTGGAAAGCTCTGGCTGGTGTGTTGGAGCAGATCTGCTGCTCCATCCAGGAGCAGAGCTTGTGGTGGAACTTGGCCTGCCAGGTTCAGGGGGATCAGCACCCACAGCCTCAGAGTGTGAGGCTGGTGCTGGGAGAACAAATATTGCTGCTGTACTGACAGATGGGTGATCAAAAGTTGAAATCACAATGAAACCAAAGCTCATGTTGGTGGGTGAGAGCTTTAGTTGTGCTTCTAGACTGTCCACTAATGTTTTTCCCTTTCTCCTTTAGATGTGGTCTTTCCCCCCTGCCCTCCCCAGCTCTGTCCAGCCCCACGGAGCCGTGCTAGTGTGAGCTCTGGTGCAGGCTGGCATGGAGCCTGTCTCATGGCCAATGGCAGGAAAACACTGCCAGGGTTTCTACCTTTGGATATTATTTGTGCTTCAGCGGGCGTGAGTGGGAGGCAGTGCAGCAAACTGGCCTTTTCCTAGGATAATGCGTCCAAGAGGAGAGGTGAGAGGTGGGAGATGGGCCCTCCCTCTCCTGCTCTTCCCAGGCACTGGCCCAGAAAGGGCTGAGCAGCAGCTCTGCTTTGCCAGCATTTTTCACTCTGAAAGACCTCGGGGCAGGCGGTCTCTCTGTGGGTACAGGGTGATTCGGATTAATTTGGAAATTGCCAGTTCCAAGCTTCAAGATGTTACCAGGAGAACTCAGACTGACCCCTGGGGGCACCCTGCTCCTTACCAGTGTTCAACCAGACTTGGTGTCACTCGACACCACCTTCTAGGCCCAGACATTCAGCCAGTTCCCAATCCACCTCACTGCTCATCCAGTTTAGGAGCTTCTTGGCTCCTCTGTCACTTAGGTCAGGGAGTTGTCATTGAGGGCTCTGGGAATGTTCTGGACTGCCTGTGCCCTGCTGTGCTGTCATTCCAGCAGCTGTTGAGGTGTTTGAGATTCTCAGTGAGGACCAGGGGCTGCAAATACAAGGCTGTTCCTTTCTGTCCACAGAGCACCTCATCTGCTTGCTCTTCCTGGCCAGATGGTCTAGAGTGGAGATTCCCTACAATGCTATCTGTGATGTTCTGCTCTTTAATCCTCCACTACAATCTCCTCACCATGGTGAGGGTGAGCCATGGGTCATGGCTCCTCACCCATCCCCACAGAGGTCCATGGCCTCCTGCTGCACTCCCACATGAAGGGTGGCTCCCCGTCCTCGTCTTCTCTTTGCCCTGACTCCTCTGTGAAATTATCGGGGTTCTTGTTCATGGTGTAGGATTTGGTAGACAAGGAGACATGGACCTGTTGGAGTGAGTCCAGAGGAGGCCACAAAGATGCTCTCAGGGCCAGAGCCCCTCTGCTCTGGAGCCAGGCTGGGAGAGCTGGGGGTGTTCACCTGGAGAAAGGCAGGCTTCAGGGAGACCTGAGAGCCCCTTCCAGTGCCTAAAGGGGCTCCAAGAGAGCGGGAGAGGGACTTGGGACAAGGGCCTGGAGCGACAGGACAAGGAGGAATGGCCTTAAGCTGTAGCAGGGCAGAATTAGATGGGGCATTGGGAAGAAAGTGGGGATGGTGGGGCCCTGGCATAGGTTGCCCAGAGAAGCTCTGGATGCCCCATATCCCTGGAATTATTCAGGGCCAGGCTGGACAAGGCTTGGAGCAACCTAGTAAGGTGTCCCTGCCCATGGCAGGGGGTTGGACTGGATGATCTTTAAGGTCCCTTCCAGCCCAAACCATTCCATGACTCTCTGAAAGCCAGACAGCAGGAAGCCCCCCTGAACCCCTCCCAGGGCCATGCTCCTGTAGCCTCTTCTCTCGTCTGCTTCGCTTCCCAGGTGCAGGTGTGGGACACGGCCGGCCAGGAGAGGTTTCGGAAGAGCATGGTGGAGCACTACTACCGCAACGTGCACGCCGTGGTCTTCGTGTACGACGTGACAAAGATGAGCTCCTTCACCAACCTCAAGACATGGATTGAGGAGTGCAATGGGCATGCAGTGTCCCCGCTCGTCCCCAGGGTGCTCGTGGGGAACAAGTGTGACTTGAAGGACCTGATCCAGGTGCCGTCCAGCCTGGCCCTCAAGTTCGCCGACGCTCACAACATGCTTTTGTTTGAGACCTCGGCCAAGGACCCGCAGGAGAGCCAGAACGTGGACGCCATTTTCATGTGCCTGGCCTGCCGGCTGAAGGCGCAGCGCTCGCTGCCCTGCCGGGACGCCGAGGGCTGGCCGGGGCAGCCTCAGCCGCAGTCCCGCCGGCTGGACGAGGCCAGCGGGAAAGGCTCCTGCCCGTGCTGAGCGGGACCTGGCCCGGACCCCAATAAAGGCTCTGAGCCCCCTGCGCTCCGACTCCTGCTTTGCGCCTCGGCCACGCTCGGCTCGGTCCGGCGGGTAGCGCTCGGGTAAAACCGGCCCGGCTCGGCTGTGATCGGCCCGGTTCGGTTACAATCGGCCGGGTTCGGCCCAGCTCGGCCACGCTCGGCCCGGTTCGGCGAGTAGCGCTCGGTTGTAATCGGCCCGCTTCGGTTACAATCGGCCCCGCTGGGCCGCGCTCGGCCCAGTTCGGCTACAATCGTTTTCACTCGGCTACAATCGTTTTCACTCGGCTACAATCGTTTTCACTCGGCTACAATCGTTTTCACTCGGCTACAATCGTTTTCACTCGGCTACAATCGTTTTCACTCGGCGACTCTCGGCCGAATCCGTTCGGCTAGGTGCGCAGCGCGCAGGCGCGGTGCCGCGCGCAGGCGCAGTGCGCGCCGCCGCCGCCATGAAGTAGGTGTGGGGACTGTGAGGGGAGCGGGAGGGAGGGATGGGGGAAGGTTTGGTTCTGTCGGTTCCGGCGCTGACGGTGCCTCGCCCACAGCCCCCTGACGAAGGTGAAGCTGATCAACGAGCTGAACGCGCGGGAGGCGGAGCTGGGCGTGCAGGAGGCGGTGTCGTGGCACGCGGAGTACAAGGACAGCGCCTGGATCTTTGTGGGTACGGGCCGGGCCGGTGAGCGGCGGGGCTGGGCCGGGTCGGGTCGGACCCGCTCGGTACTGGTGACCTGTTCCATCCCTCTCCTCGCAGGCGGGCTGCACTACGAGCTGACGGAGGGCGATGTCATCTGCGTGTTCTCGCAGTAAGTGCCGCAGCCCCGGCCCCGCCGCCCGCCCGGGCGCTGCCGGAGGGTGCTGACGGTGTGTCACAGGTACGGCGAGGTCGTCAACATCAACCTCGTGCGGGACAAAAAGACGGGGAAGTCCAAAGGGTTCTGCTTCCTGTGCTATGAGGATCAGAGGAGCACCATCCTAGCTGTGGACAACTTCAATGGGATCAAGGTGAGCGGGGCTCGGGTGCTGCTGCCGCGGCTCCCCAGGTGCTCCCGGGGACCTGCCCGCGGTCTGAGAGCCCGGCTCCTCCAGATCAAGGGACGGACCATCCGCGTGGACCACGTGGCCAACTACCGGCCCCCCAAGGAGTCAGAGGACTGGGATGAGGTGACTAGAGCTCTCCATGCCAAGGGCTGCGGGGTCAAAACGCCGCCTCGCTCCTCGTCCGACTCCCTGTCAGAGGAGGAGGATGTACCTGTGAAAAAGCAGAAAGGTGAGGATTGTTCTGGCAGGCTGGATCCCAGGTGGGATTAGGAGCTGGAGTCTGGATGGAGAGAAGGGTTGGGGGGAGGAAAATGGGCACGAAGTGAGGGTGGGGACAAGGTGTTGCTCCAAGGTGCTGAGGAGGTGCTTGAAAATGAGGGAGGAGAGGGAGAGCAAAGAGGGAAAAGGGTCATTGGGTCTGGACTGGGAAATTCTGCAGAACGGATCATGATGTTACTGAGTAAAGGGAATGAGTGGAAGGGCCCAGCATTGCTGGAAAGAACATGGTGTGAGCATTCAAGAGGGAAGCAGGGTGGCCGCAGCTGGAGGAGAAGGGTGTCACGCTAAGAAGTGGAGTGGGATCTCCCTGAGGGGGAAGCAGGCTGGCATATTGGGAGTATAGGGGAACAACTCATGGTGGGAGGGGAGTTGGGGCAGTGCCGTGAAATGGGGGGGTTGGGGGTGCTCCTGGAATTGGGTCCATCGCAAGTTGTGAACCCGTGTTCCAGAGAAGCCGCGGAGCAGAGCGGAGCAGCCGAAGCCAGGCCAGCAGGCCGGGAAGCGCGTTGGCACAGAGGAGCCACATCCCAGGATCAAGATCAAGAAGGAGAAGGAGGACCCTGGGTATGAGCGCTACGCCAGCGGGAGCTCTGACAGGAATGCTGGGAGCAGGACACAGCGGGACGAGGAGCAGCGGCAGCACCAGCGGCCCTCGGAGAGGAGGGGGGACAAGAGTGGCCAGGAGCAGAGGGGACAGAGCAGCTCCTGGGAGGAGCGGGACAAGAGGGAGGAGGCTGGCAGGAGGAGTGACGGGCACGGTAGCCGGCGGGACGTGTCCCCCAAGGGAGGCAGATCCCGGGAACCCCATTCCAGGCACAAGGAGCGGGGCTCTGGCAGAGACTCCGGCCGCCACTGAGCCCTGGGAGAGCATTCCAGGGCCAGGGAGGCCTTGATCCTGCCCAAACACCTGCTCCAAGCTCCCAGGGCACTGCAGCTGGACTGCTTGCCTCATGGGAGCTTCCCTTTGGATCTCATCCTGCTCTGGGCCAGGGCTCTCTGTGTTGGCCTTCAGTGCTGGCCATGGAGCAGGAACTGGGGGCTGGGAGCAGCAGGATGCTCCCCTTCTCCAAACCCCCAGTTCTGTCAGTGCTGGGGGGTGTCCCTCTCTTGCAGGTGAGAAGAGGCCTGTGGGTGTCTGGTCTGGCCTCGCCTGCCAGTGGGTCCTGCGCCCACCCGGCATCTCCAGGTTCTGTGGTGGACCCGCAGGGATGCACCGCTGCGTTGGGGCCATTCACCTGGGTGTGTTTAAAGGTCTTCTAATAAAAATTCCTGTTTGGCAGAAGCTGGTCCTGGGAGCACCCTTCCTGCTCCTGACGGTGATTTTGGGCTGATTTGGCTGGAAAAGCGGGAGTGATGGATACAGAGTTGGGGGGTGGTGCACACGGTGATGAGAGCGATGGGCTTTGGGATGGTTTGAGCTGGATCTGATTCCCACAACGACTAATCCCTCCAGACAGAGTCCACAGCAGTTCCAGGCATGGAGGGCAGAGGGGGCATTTTTCCCATGGAACAATTGGGACTGAGCCCAGAGGTGCCCGATGTGGGGTCAGATGAGGACTGGGGCAGGGGCAGACCCGGGGGGTTCCCAGTGTGCTGGGCAGGGGGCTCAGCCCCATCCTGCTCCTGATACCCCGGGGGGGGCTGTGACCGTCCAGCTGCCGGTACCCCGGGGAGCCGTCACCATTCTGCTCCCGGTATCTGGAAAGGCTCAGCCCCTTCCTGCTCCTGGTGTCCGGGGGTGCTGTGACCGTTCTTCTCCCGGTACCCCGGGGAAGCTTAGGCCTGTCCTGCTCCCGGTACGCGGGGGATGGTCACCATTCTGTTCCCAGTGTCCGGAGGGCTGTGACTGTGCTGTTCCCGGTGTCCGGGGGCGCTCAGCCCCGTCCTGTTCCCGGTGTTCGGGTGGGTCTGAGCCCCGCCCTGCCCGCGGTGCCGGGGGGCGGTGCCGGGGGGCGGTGCCGGGGGGCGGTGCCGGGGGGCGGTGCCGGGGGGCGGTGCCGGGGGGGCGGTGCCGGGGGCGGTGCCGGGGGGCGGTGCCCGGTCCCGGTGCGGTGCCGCCGGGGGCCGGCGGGGGGCGCGGCGGTGCCGGTGACTCTTCCGGCGGCTGTTCCGGTCCCGGTCCCGGTGGCGGCGGTGCCCGCCCGCCATGCCATGTCCGCGCTCAACTGGAAACCCTTCGTGTATGGCGGGCTCGCCTCCATCGTGGCCGAGTTCGGTGAGGCGGCGGGGCCGGCGGGGCGGCAGCGGCACCGGGGCCGGTCCCGGCGGGCGCTGACGCCGCTGTCCCCGCTGTCCCCGCTGTCCCCGCAGGCACGTTCCCCGTGGACCTCACCAAGACGCGGCTGCAGGTGCAGGGGCAGAGCACCGACGCGCGGTTCCGCGAGGTGCGGTACCGGGGCATGTTCCACGCGCTCTTCCGCATCTGCCGCGAGGAGGGAGGACGGGCCCTGTACTCGGGGTGAGCACCGGGACCATCGGGACAGGGACCCCATCGGGATAGGGGCCCATCTGTACCGGGATTCCCATCGGCACCGGGACCCATCGGGACGGGGACCCATCCCATCGGCACCGGGCTCCATCCATCCCGAGACCCCCATAAGCCACGGGTCCTTCCCATCCACCCTGTCCCCCCCAGTCCATCCGCACCGGGACTCCCCTACCGGGACCAGGACCCTCCATCCGCCCTGGGCCCCGCGATCCACCCCGGGAACCCCACTGCATCCGTACCCCCATCTGCTACGGGTCTTCCATCAGGCCTGGCATTTCCTTCCACCCACCCTGGGCTTCCCCACTGCCCGCCACGGGTCCTTTCCCCCTGCCCCACCATCTCTCACTGCTTCTCCTGGGCCACCCTTCGGTCACAGCATCATCCCCACCATCCTGTCTGCCCCCCGAGCCCATCCCAGTTTCCCCCCTCCACTCTGGCATCCCCCTCTACCTTCCTCCCGGGTCCCCCCACCCATCCCAGGTTCTTCCCCTCTGCCCACCCTGGCCCCTGCTTCTGTCCTGGCACCCCCTCCCCACCCCGGGCTTCCTCTTCCACCTTCTGTCCTGGCATCCGCCCTGTCCATCCTAGTTCCCCCCTCCCCTTTGCCCATCCCAGCCCGCTCCCACTCCCTGCATGGCACCGTGACCCCCGAGATCCCACCCAGCCCTGAGCCCTGGGGCCGGGGCAGTGGAGACTCCCCGTTTTCCTGAGATGAGAAGCAAGGCCAGCGCTGTGTGGATGCCAGCCCCTGGCACAGTGGGGGGCCATCCCAGCAGTTATCCTGGGCACTGGAGCCATGGCAGCGACACGCCTGGTCCTCAGCAGTTTGGGGGCTGGTGGGAAGCTGGCACACAGGGATGCTCAGGGATTGTTCCCCCTCAGGATTGCCCCGGCACTGCTGAGACAGGCATCCTATGGCACCATCAAGATCGGGATCTACCAGAGCCTGAAGCGGCTCTTCGTGGATCGCATGGAAGGTCAGTATCAGGGAATGGGGCAGCAAGGGCACCTCCCAGCTCACTGATCCTACACTCTCTTGTATGTTCTGCTCATTCCCTGCTCTGTCCTTCCCACCTCGAGATTCCCACAGGAATGGAGCTCTGTTACTGGGCGCTGTGGTTTTGTTTGTCAGTGGTGGCATGGATCAGTTTCAATCCCAATGGGAACCCGTGATCCCTACCCAACCACCTCCCTCCAGCCAGGTCCTTCCTTTCATGGAATCATAGGAGAATCCCAGAATCTTTTAGGTTGGAAAGAGCTTCAAGGCTATCAAATCCAACCTGTGCCCAATGCCCACCTTGTTGCCCAGCCCAGAGCACTGAGTGCCATGTCCAGTCCTTCCTTGAATACCTCTAGGGATGGGGACTCCACCACCTCCCTGGGCAGCCCCTTCCAATGCCTGACAGCTGTTTCCATGAAGAAATTCTTCCTAATGTCCAACCTGACCCTCCCCTGGCACAACTTGGGGGAGTCCTCTCATTCTGTTAAGCCTTTATCTCTGCTTTGCACCTTGGTGCCAGAAAAAAATCATCCAGTTCCGCCCCCCTGCTGTGGGTAGGGACACCTTCCACTATCCCAGGCTGCTCCAAGCCTTGTCCAACCTGGCCTTGAACATTTCCAGGCATGGGGCAGCCACAGCTTATCTGGGCAACGTTTGGATTGGGATTTTGTGACTCAGCTCTGTAGCTTTGGCCCTGACTTGAAGGTGAGATGCCACCAGTGCCCTTGACCCATGCCCTCTGCTCAGGAGGCCTCTGCAGCTCCTCCCTGGGCAGTGGAGCAGCAGGAGTCTGGTGGATGCTGCCTGAGGGAGCACTGAGATCTGCAGGGGTGATTTTTGTCCCTGGGGTGACATGAGGGAATGTTGTAACACCGTTCCAACCTGGGAAAGCAGGGTGGGCGGATGAGATGCAGCACACTAATGGCATGGAACTGTGTCAGGGGAGGTTTAGGTGGGATATCAGGAAAAGTTCTTCCCCCAGAGGGTGGTTGGGCACTGAACAGGCTGCCCAGGGCAGTGGTCACGACCCCAAGGCTGCCAGAGCTCAAGGAGCATTTGGACAGTGCTCTCAGGGACTTGTTGGGGTGTCCTGGGCAGGGCCAGGAGTTGGACTCGATGATCCTTGTGGATCATCCAACTCAGGAGATGCTGTGGTTCACTAGAGCTCCTTTCCAAGGTTGCTCTGTCCTCAGTAATGTCTCTCCCTGCTCCAGTAACGCCTCTCCCTGCCTGGTTCTGTCCGTGTACACAGGCCCCTCCTCGCTGTTCCAGCCTTTCCAGCTGTGAGCTCCGTGCCTGAATGTTTGTCTCCCTACAGGCCTGGGGCAGCCAGTGGCCTGGTCTCCTCTGGGAAGTGTCGTGGTCAGTACCAGCAAAGTGCTGTGCCTTTTCCCAACGTAACCATCATCCTAATACTGGGCCTGGAAGTCTCAGGTTATTCCCTGGAACTAATCCCATCTAACTCCCCACCTGGTCCCAGTCCTCAGCTGGCTCTGGGTGGCTGCATGGTCTCACTGGAGCCAAAACCATTTGGTATCAGGTGGCCTTGAGAAGTGCTGGGTTGTCCCTCTCTGTCTCCCTCTGTCCTGGCTTGTCCCTATCATGAGAAATGCATCACTGGACACTGAAATCTCAGATAATTGTTCACTGGACACTGAAATCTCAGATAATTGTTCACAATTTTCACGTGTCCCGTGATTTTCCTTCTCATCAGTCAGACCTACCCCTCTGAGAGAGTGAGTTGCCGAGTGTCCCAGCTGCCACCTCCTGTCCCTGGCAGGTGTGGGGACAGACCTGCCACGAGCTGTGGCACCTGCCCAGCCCCTGCTCCTGCATCTTCACTGTGAGATTTGAGAACTGAGCTGCTCTGCTCTTCCCAGCCCTTGTTCCATCCCACCTGTGCCCCTTCCCGTGAGGTCTGTAGGGTCTGACCTTCTTCCCTTGCTTGCAGATGAAACGTTGCTCATCAATGTGATCTGTGGGGTGGTCTCGGGGGTCATCTCCTCTGCGCTGGCCAATCCCACAGATGTGCTGAAGGTAAGGGCAGCTCCTGGCCAGCACTTGGCTGGCTGTGGGACATGTGGGAGGTGCAGCTCAGTGCTCCCTGAGCCACCAGTTCTGCTAATTTGGGCTTTTCTAATAAATGGAGACCGAAGCCCAGAGCAATTAACAGCAAAAAGCACAGCTCTTAAAGATCACAGAATCCCAGAAGGGTTTGGGTTGGAAGGGACTTTAAAGCTCATCTTGTCCCACTTCCCTGACCTGGGCAGGGACACCTTCCACTGTCCCAGGTTGCTCCAAGCCCCGTCCAACCTGGCCTTGGACACTTCAGGGATGGGGCAGCCACAGCTTCTCTGGGCAACAAAGGTCATGAAATTTGCTGTGGTGAAGGATGGATGGTGAAGGATGGATGCTGCCTTATCCGACCTGGGCAAGGTGAGCAGGTGGCAGCCAGATGTTCCTCACACCTGCCCTGCTGCTCTCCCCTTGGTCACTGTGCTGGCACTGCCTGTTACGTGGAGTGAGCAGAGCCCAGTGGGGACTGCCTGATGCCCTGGAGTCAGGGTAGCCCTGCTCTGGGCTGAGAGAGCCTGGAGAACTTCCCTATGCTTCTCCTTGTGTAGATCCACCTTCTTAAGCTGTTTCCAGGGCAGGAAGGCCTCATCTTTCATGTCCCTGTGCTCCCACCCCTCTGCTCTCCCTGCTCCTTGCCTGCTGCCATCATTGGCTGCATGGTTTGCAGGGAGAGAGACGTGGAGAGCAGTGTCAGCTGTGAGCTGCTCTGTGTTCCTGC